TTCGCTGATTCAATTGTGAATTAGAGAAATGTTAATCTTACAAGATTAATACTGGATAAACTAGAGTGTTACTGTCAAGGAGGATTGAGCTTAAAATGCTGAAAAAGACCGGCTGATGACACAAGTTAATCTAAGAAAACCTTTTATACATAGAATAAAAAGTAAATTAGGAAAACAATCGGTTTTATGGTGAGCTGTTCTTGGATTATCCCTTGTATGGATTCCACTATGAGCAAATGACTTCACAGATATAAACCCCATCCACTGTTCTATTAGTTTCATTTGAAAAGAAAAGAAAAAAAAGCTTTAGTAATGGGATGTTCCGGCCGGTGGTAATTAAATAGTGAAACTGCTGTCAGATAAGCACAATGTCGCTGCCAAGCTTTATAACTGACGTGTTGCTGAATGGCACTGCCACTACACTAATTCACACTACCAAAAGGTTTAACCAACCCTTTCAAGTTAATCCATATTTGGGCCTATCAGTTGATAGTTAATAACTGACGATATCGATTAACTAATAAAATATTATTGTTTGATAAAATTTTAATAATGATTAGTGTTAGAAATGTAATTGTTGTTAAAAGTATATTATTTTCATAAATTAATATTTTAAATATATTATTTTATATTTTAAAGTGTTATGTAAATAAGATTGATCATATAAAAATATTAATTTGAAAAAATTTGGAATATTAAAAATACTCCATATCCAAAACTTGAACTCGAGACATTCAGTAAAGTAACCATATGACCCCTAGGAGATTGTTGCGTCTGTTATTATATATTTATGAACGCAGGCATGCTTAATGGCACTGAAATCATAGAAAATATAGTTACTGTCCATAAATGTGGAGTACGAGATTGAGAGGTATTAGTAGCATAATTTAAGAATAAATTTCTTCAACTTTAGCACTAGGAATTTGCATAAGTCGATTAATGATAGAACCGCAATTTAGAAGGTTATGGATAACATAGTTGATGTATATTGCAGCAATTATAAAATGGTTTAGGAGATTCTTTATATTATCCAATTCTATCTATCTATCTATCTAGGTCAAAAAAAAAAAAGAAAAAAAAAAAAAAGAAAAAAAGTTTTCAATATGAAGTAAGTGCATCATGCAGTATATTCAAAATTTAGTTTAGGACACTTGGACAATTCATAAAATGGATTTTTATTTTCTATTTTATTAATCAGCGATTGTGGTTGAATTTTTTAAAGTCAATACTCAATTAGATAATTTTCAAATATATAAATCAAGTGTGGAGTTAATTAGAAGCAACTTAGGTTGATCTCTTGAACTAATTGTTGTCTATTTCATCCATTAATTTCATACATATGTAATTAAATTAAACAAGTATTTATTTGGTAAACGCAAGAGATCATAAATTGTCTTATTATTATTATTATTATTATATTTTGTGTGGCTTATGTTTTAACAAGTTAATTACTTTTGTGGTATGACTCTACACAAGAAAAACAAAAATCATATAATTTTATGATCAAAGGTGTCCATTAGGCTACCATATAAACAAAAATCAATTCATTCTTGAATTGCATTTGTTGAAATCCATATACAGAGTGAGTTATGAGTAGGTCTAGTCAGGCCTTAGTAGAGTAGGGGAAGGCAATGAGACACTGTGTTTGTCTTTATGCTTAGCTACACTCCAAAACAAGCTTTTAAATTGTCCTTATCTCCATTTTAATAATCGCTTAAAGACAAACCCAATCATTTTATTTTTCCTGTCTAATTGGCTAATAATTGCCTCTGAGCATGAATTTATTGCTTTAATCAGAGCCAATAAGGGCTTGATGTGACATTTCGATCCGACAAAACGATCTTAAAATGTCAGGCTAGCTAGGGTAATAGAATGCGGGATACAGAAATGAATCGAATCATATATCAAAAATGGAGAAACTAATTATTAGAGGCGCCTTTTGGTATAGTGGCTGGAGAGTTGGAAGAACTCCAGATTTAAGCGTGCTCGTTTAACAGAAATTTCAGAATAGATGACCTCCTGAAAAGTTTCTCATTTAACCCGTGGAATAAAACCGTGAAGGTGGGTGTATGTGTTGACCGGATTAGGCCGAGACACAACCCCGTGGCCAAAGCGGACAATTTCTCTTGTGATTAGAGTCGGACGTGACACTTGAAGTCACATCTATCAATTCAACTTGTTATATTCTTGTGATTATTTACATGTTTGATGGCTGCTTATACGATGAATTGAAAAATGATCTAAATAATGGTTAATAAGAATATATTATTAATTATTAATTATTACTAATTATTGTCGCTCACACTGAAAGAAAATTCCTTAAACTAGATTTACATGAACAACCCTAATATAAGATAAGAACTATGGCATATGTGAGAGAGGTTTACCCATAAAAAGTGCTCCATCAGTCCGTACATATAATAGTAGTGGAACAGCTAAGTGTTCAAGATAGTGTTGTTAATCTAATCTGATAATAAACTAGTTAAAAAGTGCAAAAGAGAATTTGACTCTATTAGTTTATGATATAATCACTTTGAAAAGTGACATTCTTTGTACAATATTGGCATTTTGGTGGTGCTCTACAGCTTCAAGCATCTATATCTTAATTAATGGTGCTTGCTTCACAGCATAAACAATGTAAGAAAAAGAAAGTGCAGCTAATGAAAGCATAATTAAGCTACTACTACTAATATAGAGTAGAGTATAAATAAAAATTGACTCATAATTACATAACAATTTTGAGGGGAACTTCCAAATTTCTCTCATTGAACTAGAGATGTCAGAATGGAGGCTTTCTTGTGTTTTTGCATGAGTTGGATTATTTCAAGGTTTTAGTTCCTAATCCTAATTATTCCTTAATTAATAGGCATTAAACAATTAATTAGTTACATCTATAAAGGGATAAGTGCTGTGGATGGATCCTACCTCGAGGAAAGGTAGAGATTATTATATGCTACTCTATAGCATTATTTATCTTATCTAGAGGTACTTCTACTTGAGCACCACTTAAGTGTCTGGTGGCTAATGTCAAAAAAAAAAAAAAAGTGTCTGGTGGCTGCACTAGTTGGGTCTTTCATACAGATAACAATTTTAAGATACACGATCTTATAATCGATGTGATAGACCAAGTGAATTTAACCTGTGGTGTAACTTCAGAAAAAAGAATTATAGCTACCAATTAGAAGCATAATAGCAGAGAAGGAAGCAAATTTGGAACAAGCAAAATCTCAGGGCAAGTATTTTATAACATGGCACAAAATACATTTTATAATTATGAGAAGCTTCTCTATATTGGCAGAGAACAGACCAAAAACAAGAACTAATTCTACAACAACACTACTGGTTTTTTGAATGGTGTTGTGGATCAGGTCCTCCTGGACTCACTCTTTTGGAATCAAAATGACCTTTGTTCATGTTTTCATTTCCCTGCCTAACATTATAAACTTCAGTCTCGCCCATTGCACGAATTGACCTTATCAGGTTCCTCCTTGCTAAAGACTGATCAAGCGGGCGAGTTTCAGAACTTGAAACAGCCACCAATATCAGGAATATGCAAAGACAAAACCTAAAGCTAGCCATTTTTGTTCTTGTTTAAGGTTTCAGAAAATGCAGTGCAAGAGAGTCAAACTAGGAAGAGGTATATATAGAGGGATTATGGATGTTTCTATTTGTTATAATAATCAAAGTGGGCAAAAAGCAACATCCATTTACGATTTCAGTTTTGTTCGGTTGTGTATTCCATTTCTATTCTAAATGGTCGCCTTTTGCTGAATTAAAACACAAAGAAACACCGACCAGTTAGAATATTTTGTCTTGAACTGCAAGAGAGACTTAGTATCCTTTATTTCAATGAAAATCCTCTATCTATAATCTATTTACTCAACTCCTTCACACTAGTACTACTATTGCTTCAGTGGCCACGTGTATCATGTGACATATATAAAAAGAAAAGGACAAGGGTGGCTTAGCAATGGAGGAGATAACTCTTAAAAATTTTCTCATTCTCTTATTGGCATGAAAGAGCTATCTAGTTTGGCTTCTAATGCATTTCATGCCACCGCCATGTTGATTAGTTTATGTTTTGTACAATTAATAAATCGCCATGTAGTTTTGTCCATAATAATTTCTTGATTACTTCCAAACCATTTTTCTCTACGTTCTGCTTTTTCCAATATATGCTACCATAAATTTAGAATGAAACAATTATGCTAACTTGGCCGGCGGGCATTTCCACCTTGCCTGCCCTGTTAAAGCTTTTTCATTTTTAGATTGTCGTTGAAGCTTAATTTTCATTCTTCCTGTGAAAATTGAAGTTGGTCTAATCAAGTTCTTCATACTCAGAAATCACGAAGAACTAGCAGCAGAAAATGCATATCCAAGCTATTCAATGAAATCTAAACAATCATAACCAGAGTTCTTAATTCTGTATGCACGTACATCAGTATATGAGAGAACTAATACATGAAAACATGATTCAAAGAGATTTCTGAAATTCACTTACAGCAAGTTTGACGTCCCTCTCCCACTGCTATTGCAACTTGACCAAGCATTAGAGCAGGGCAGAACCACAGAGCATTGCAGCAATCCAGACCAGATTTCAGCCAATCTCAAGTGTGATTATCTAACTATCACATCAAAATCAATAATCAATAGATCATTATGTTTTCTTAAACCAGTGACAATATATCATCAATTATAAAGGATAATGGGATCTGTAGTGAGCTAAAGGAAATGCAAGAAAAGGACAGTTGATAATACCATCAATAAGCTCAAATTTTTGACAAGTAATTTTAAGGTTTCAAATATAGGGAAGAACTCAACTAGGAAGCCAAACAAAATGGGTAACCATCAATTAAATTTCCCACGGGGCCTTTGAATTCTTATCTCTATTGTTTTCTAGAATTAGAATTCAGCTTAAGAGTTGCAACAATTTTCAAGCAGGTGGCTCTGATCCAGATTATCACAATAAAAGGGGGAAAAGGAAAAAGGAAACCCACAAATAAAATATAATTAGATTTTTTTTCATCTTTTATTCCTGTGTAGCATATATTACATTGAATATGGAATTTACCCCTAATTCTGGACTTGGAAACGCTAGTCCAGTCCACAAAGATTGAATTAATCCTCAATCAAGCAGATTGACTAGCTAACAAATTTAACACAGTAATAAATCGGTAGTTTAACTATCTAAAATTTTTGCTTGAATACACCACATTGGTTTTCTTGCACATGGATTCGACACCTCCTCCTACAGCTCTCCTTTTCCCGCACTTCAGTTGGCAAGGTAAAGAAGATGAAATATAAACAGGGATCCTGTTCTGCGGAGGTGAAATTGAATAAATTGGTTGATTGAAGAGGTGGGTAATGTCCTCTAGAGGCTTCCTGGCTCTTCTTCCGTCGCAGGGGAAGCGTGGAGATTTTGCATCCAGTGTGGCTCGCAGCTCTGAATAGAGAGGAGGAATGTTCTCTTTGTTACGATTTTCACTACGAGAAAGAAAAGCCATTGTATACAGACAGATCAAGATCTTGAGATAGAGAGAGAGAGAGAGAGACAGAGGGAGTGGTGAAATTGGAGTGGCAAGAATATTGTATATGTGATGCTGGTTTTTGGAGGGTAGAATGAGAGGTTTTAATTTTTGGGATGTATTCTGATTTTAGTTTTCACGGAGATGGGAGGGAGAAGGCGGAGGTTTTATTCGTTTTTAATTTTTTTAGGGGGAGCGGGCGGCTTTTAAATTTGAAATCCGAACGTTGAAACTTGAAAGTGGGGGCGGAGGCGCGCCTACTTTCAGCTGTACAATGAGACCAGAGAGAGGTTCAAATTTTTAGAATGGTAAGTAAAAAGCACGGGACTGGATTCTACCGCGGAAAATCCAACTATCCGAAAAAGAATTTCAAAAAAAATGCGAGGTTTATTTCCCTCACTCACATTTAGCCAAAATAAAAGCCCAACCAAACTCTATTCACTTGCCCAACTAGCTATGCCTTGTTTTTAGTTAGAAAAAGTTTAAGAGCGAATCATATGACCGGTTTGCATTTTTTAAAAAATAAATCATTATTAGTACAAGAACATTCTCCATCTTACATATATCTGATGGATTCTATGAGATACATGTTTCATCAGATAAAAACTAATAATCATCCTAATATTTATATTAGAATCATATCTGTCAATGACAATCTTTCCTGAGTGTTAAAAAAGAAGTCAGAATTTGCTTTCATTGATCTCAAATAGGATTTTGTATTTGCTATTATAGTCTTGTTCAAACAAATGAAGTACCACATAATAGCTAATTATAATTTTCAAGGATTACCCGTTTGTAAGTAATTTCTCTTAAAAGTTAATTTTGCAATTAGATCACAAAAGAAATTATTTTACTTTTTCTTTTGAATCTTCTACTTCTAGTCCCAAAGAGAATATTTATAGGAAAATCTTTATCTACTTTTAACCCGAAATAAGATTGGAACAAGAAAGCTTATAATTCTGAGTGTTAAGCTTAGCACAGTAAACACGCACAGAGATCATGTAAAAGTAAAACTGCAACGAGGGAGACTTTGTTGCAAAGCTCGACTGCTCAGGAAACAGATTCTGATACCAGCTGGTAAGAGATTCACACCTACTGGCCCTGAGCATGGCACATTAAATTATCAAATCATTACAAAGTTATAAACGTGTGTATAAGATAGGAAGAAACAGAGAGTACCTATCTTGTTCCTACTGAAGCCAATCAGAAGTCAACTGTGCAGCAAATTTCTGAACCATTCGAATGTTTTCAATTGTTAAGGAATAACAACAGTTCTATTTTCAACTAAAAGAAAAGCCAAAGGAAGAGGATAAAGAATAACAGAGAGGATTGGAAGGATATCTTCTCATTGAACATAGGATGGTTAAGCATCAGTAAACTGTTATTATTCACAATAGCTCGAACCATTATTTCTTTGGCTTCCTCATGTTTCTTCTTCAACATGTTGCAAATCTGCAGCAAAAGATTGTAAAGAAGTATACTTCATGAATATCTATCCTTAGTGGAAACAGAGTTCAGAATTCAGAAAGAAATCGAGTAATTTTTAGAAGATTTTGCAGAATAATCAAAATCCGTTGCAGTTAAGTAAGACATAATTACATTCGATTGATAGGTACTGAGAATAAAGCATGTAATGGAAACCCAATCCAAAATCGTTTTTCTCCAAGCCTGGCCTACTTGGTCAGTCAACACAGACTAAAAACTCAATGAGGTGTCTTCTTTCGAGGAAAGAAAAAAATCAACAAAAGTCCAGAATAGACTCGATCAAACTATCAATAGCATGCAATGAACCTCAGTATTGAAGACTAAAACCAAAAGTCAAAATATCAGATTTGGCAGTAAAAAGAAAAAGAAAAGACAAATATGGGTCTTCCGACAAACTTGAGTCCTTCTAGTTCTAGGCTGTTACAAATTACAAGTTTCAAAATTTTCATCAGGCTAGATCAATATTTTGTCCTTCACTACCATAGCTTTGCTTTGTGGAAAATCCATCTTAAGAGGTTGATGACAAGTGGCAATGCCTCCAGTCAAATTTGACATTGTCAAGTCTCTATGGTTTTTACTATGTCATCTCGCTTTTAGGTTTCTAATTTTTCCAAGTCACATGACATGTTTTAGTTCCTCATTACGACATTACCGACATTGAAAATCTTGTGGAGTAAACATATATAAACCTCTAGACACCAAAATGGAAAACAAAATTTTCACTCACATCCTCAAGCTCTTTTGCATATGCTTCGGCCTTTTCAACATTTCCATCATTTTCCATAGCCAAAGAAATGTCTTGTTCTCTTATATTTGCCTGTTGGGGTATTTCATGTCCAGAGGTTGAGTGGTTATAGAGAACACCTTTGGGCTTACTCTTTACCTGATTATCCTGATGACAACCCTAGCAAAAGAATATTAAGGCAAGAGAAGCTAGAAATTAATTGACCAGATTTCAACCAAGTACACTTTATATATAGATCTTAGTGGTTGCTATTGATCCACAAACACAGGGGTTTTGGGAAAGATACCTGTTCTTCAATAGTGCTTTTCAGAGGTTCCTTCAAATTGCTGAAAGCATTTGGGAGAAAAGCATTGTTTTATTCTAGCAAACAACCAGTAATTTGAGTTGCAACATATGCACACTGGATTACATATGACAGTACCTGATCTCATTGGGTGACTGAGAAAGACGTTTTCGTGGACTCAAGGCCACTAGCTCTTGATTTGATGCCTGTAAATTGCATCTTAGAATAATAGAAATACATCACAATACTTTGATAAAGATCCGGAAGAAAGTATTTGCTGCTGCTTAAAAACAAACAGTACTCATGATAATATATAGTGGAGGATCCAATGCATAATAAGCCACATTTGGGAGGGTGGGGGTTAAGGAGAACAAACCTCAGATGTTTTCCGTTTCAAAGATGTCATCAACAGAGTTTTTCTCTCAGCATTTGCAATAGGATGAGCAACCTTGGATGCTGTAGTTCCTTGTACTTCCACATTTTTCCCTGAGTTTCTCGAGGAACTTAGTCCCAATTTATCTACAGCACTTGAATGACCTTTGCTTGCTCCAGTAGTCCTATGTTGAGAGACATCAATCATCAAAGAGATGTATCACAACAGAGAAAGAAAACCAGAAGGCATTGACAAACATAAATCTCCATATTCTTATCAGACCTTGTAATCTTCAAGCTAGAAAGATCAGGTGTTTTCTTTCCAGCTTTAAGCCCTTCAAAAGGAATTATCTTTGAGTTCCAAGTTGATCCCATGCTTGAAACTGCAGCAGTAGAATTTTCACTTGTCTGGATGCTAGACTTAGTTGCCTTATCAATTGAGCTGGAAGTATTAACTTCAAAACTGCAAATATTTCACAAGGCTCCCAGAGCTTATACCATTAGTATGTTTTCCAGAACTTGCATAATGTTAATGCATTTCAAAAAATATACAAGTTCTCAGAAAGAACCCAGTCAAAAAGTCACAGGTAGAAAATAGAAGGACAAGTTCACAGATTCTGGTTAATTAAAGCTTGCAAATGATATATAGTGAAAGCTTGATAAATAGCAAAATGGCAGCAGTTAGAAGGGACATAACTGGTTGCTCAAATTTTAAGTGATGTATTTCTACTTATGGACCAAAATTTCAACATACTGAAGAAGAAAAACCTTTATAGAAAATCATACCAGTTAAATATACCTCACCTGATATTACATAAATTTTTAACATTCTTTACGCTCCCTAGGGAAGAAGGTTCTCCTTTTGCCAATTCCATTGAAAGTGACTTTGAATCACCAATTACTTTTTTGTGCGTTTGTGCATCATTAACATTGAAGCTTTCTCTGTTGAGCAAAAAATGGAAAAGCTTATCATTACTGAAAATTGCACTTCTTACACAAATCATGTGGCGTAGGCGCGTGGCATCCCACACAGAAGATTAATTACTCCACTTTATGTAAGGGGAGCGCATACAGGGAGGATAAGCTCTTTGCTGTGCTCCAGTCCTGCATCTCACCTTTTCTCATTTGCAGGACAAAGTGTATCCATTTCTTTACACCCAAATGAGGAAACCTCCATGCCAGTGGATGGTGGCTGACATAGTTGAGGTTTGGGTTCTTTCAATCTCTTAAAATACTTTGAACAAACAACTCCTGATTCTGTCTCCTTTGTTGGTGTCACATTATTGACAACAGGTTCACTATATGAGATAACCAAAAATAGAAAAAGAAGAAGAAAGAATCAATTATATGCAAACTAACCAGTAATTCCATGAATGAGGGCTTATATTGACATAGTTCGGCAAAAAAAAAAAAAAAAAAAAAAAAAAAAAAAAAAAAAATCACTCCGGAATGAGCAATGTTATGCTCTTATTTAATTACAATAATTAGACCAGAAAACATGCTGTCATTGAACTTGCAGTTTAGGAAACGTCATTTTCTCTTATAGCTGTTAATAGACATGAAACTTCTTCTTCCCTCATTTGAAAAAAAAAAAAAAAAAAAAAAATCACTCATGAGCAATGTTATGCTCTTTATTTAATTACAAATAATTAGACCAGAACATGCTGCATTGACTTGCAGTTTAGGGAACGTGTCATTTTCTCTATAGCTTTAGATAGACATGAAACTATCTTTCTTCCCTCATTTGAATGAAGCCATCTATCTGAAAATGAATTAAAGTGTTCATATTGTCATCACTTTCTCATTCCAATGGGACCAAATGCAAGAAGTTTGATTATAATAAAATGGACATCAATAAATGCCAGAATTTAAAAAATTGTCTAACCTCCTTAATGGAACCAAAAGTTTTGAAGCTGACTTCTGGACATCCTTATCATTTGGTCTTCTCGGTAAATGATCTGCAGAGGATGTAACTTCAAAATCTAGATCATCTTGCATTGGCTCAGTCCCTGTCATATTTCCAATTGGGGTTTCACTATCTGCCTTTTTGCATGCACCTCCACTGCTCTCTGATCCGTCATTGTATGGTTGAGCCGAATTCTTCAACTGTAAGTTCTCATGATTAGAGCTACTACAAGGTATAGTTCTGTCCATAACATCCTCTTCTGCACCAGATTCTGTATTCAATTTTCTAGCCAGGGAACCAACTTGAATATCTAATTCTGTATCTTGAATTGAACTATTCTTAGGAACAGATTGAACAGGTAAAATCTCTGTTGTCTGTTGAGCTTGTGGCTCTGTGGGCATTGCCTTCTCTTGGAAAGATTCAGTATCTCGAATTGAATTTTTCCCTGTAACAGATTGAACAGATAATATCTGTGTCAACTGTTGAGCTTGTGGTTCTGTGGGCATTGCCTTCTCTTGGAAGTGATTCTGCTGATCTGCTTCTTCTGGACTAACAGAGACTGTTTTCTCTGTTGAATCTCTTGTACAGTGTGACACAAACATATCTCCAATTTTTTCTGATATTGAAGGAAAATTGTCATTTGAGGAATTGCCAGTTGCTTCACCAACTACAGTAGTCTCAACAACAGAAGTAGTTGCATTCTCTGGTGCTTGACTCTTGTCTGTGTGGCTATAATCAAATGCATCATTGCCGCAAGCCAGGTTAACTTTTGAGCTCTGATATTCACTCCTATCTGAACCAGCCACTTTGCTGTCCGGATTTTTCATGGAAGTTTTACCTCCTTGAATTATAGATGAATCAAAGTTGAAATCATCCAACCTACTTTGCAACAAATAGGCCAGGTAAGCAATTCTGATATCATTTTGAATTCCCTAAGACAGCTAGTTGAAAAGTTCTGTATAATAAGGTCAAATGCCCACACAGTTTTATCTACTTACTCGTTAAAATCAAAAGAGAATGCAAAGCAGTCTCGTTTTCCTCGATGATTTCCACTGGAAGATTCTTCTTTAGAACTTTCTTTGGGTTTAGCAGTCTTTTTGGATGGGGATGAGAAATCAAGGTCAGGCAAGTCCACTTTGAAGGATGTTAACTTTTCAAAATCACCATCTAGATTAAAATCCATATCTCTGAAAAGAATATTACATTAGCAATTTAGCATTAACTCACTAATTGCATACTCCTTGCGTACCAGTAATATATTTAGGGTAAATTAGCATACTTGTATCCAAGCTAGCACACCCTCATGAAACACAATTATTTAGGGACAAGAAATGTAACTGAGGAAAGAATAACTACAATGGTGCATCATTTTAAATGATAGTAATTCTAAAAGAAAATGAAAATATAGTCAATACTCAGTTTAACAGTAAAAAAGTACCAAGACAGAAAGGAAAAGTTGTTCAACAAAATACTAGATCTAGGGAGGTTAAGAAGCCATAGTTTTCGGAGCTTTGGAGCACTTACAATTTGTCAAAGTTGAATGTTTTCTTCTTGCCACTTGAAACTGTATCAAAATTAAAATCCATTTTATCATCTCCTGCCGCTGAAAGTGATTTCCAAGAGCTAATAAATTCCTTTCCAATTTCCTCATCTGCTTTCAAGGTAATTTAAGATTTCAAAATATAGTCCACACATGATTAAAGCAATTAAATAAGAAGACAACAAATATATAGTGTGTATATATATAAAGCGATACTGAAAATACCTAGAGGTGAATTTTTCTTTTTGGGATCAACAGATGAGGAAGTTCCTGTCTGTGGTTCTGCCATCTGTAACGTAGGTTTCTTTCAGAATTAGCTGCCGCAAATAACTAGAGGACTCAGGGATACAGATACAATAAAATTTGAATGGCATATTTCAAAAGCTTTAAATTATCGTGCCATAATGAAGTTCAAGCATCCAATTTAGTGATGGCAGAACCTTAACCGAAGTAGTATTGAAAAGCTCAGAACAAGCCCCTAATAATGTAAACTACCGATTTAACTAAACTAAAAGAAAAAAATATTTACATCAAGGTAATGCCTATGTATCAGAGAAATTTCTCAACTGGACCTGCTCAAATCATCCTGCAGACAACTAGTTAGCCATCTAGAAATTATGCCATTACAGATAAATGAAACCTCCTGAGTACCTTGTTCATAATTTTCTTTCCCTAAAATGTTTATAAATGATAAAAGAAGTTTCGACACACCTTCCATCTATTAGAGAAAAACAAAACATGACCTGATTTGCAATAACCAGTGATTTGCAAGACAATTAGTTATGAAGGCAACATAGAAACATGACCTGAGAGACAGTCGATATGATTTCGTGGTCTATCGCCAGTTCATTTGCAATAAAACGCTTAAGAACATACTAAACCTAAAATTGATAAGGATGTAGAGAGTGATTATGGTAAGAGATGAAGTAAAATCAACAGAAATACAAAACTGAAGAATTGCTAGCTCAACTTCGAAGTAGATCCAGACGTACTCAACCTAATTCGGCCAAGCACAAATCCAAAAGCAAAAGAAACAAAAAGTACATTGGACTTGCATTGAATCCACGGATGATATGACCGAGAAAACACCAGGAAACAAGAGCATATGATCTTAAAATACCTAATTTTAAATCTTCAATGATAGATTATACAGTTCTGAGTTTGAAATGAGAGAGTGGGACAGAGAGAGAATTTGCCTGTAATTGAGGTAAGATAAGTCCGAGTCCTGCTGATGTTTGGTTCGCCAGAAAATTGAGTATGCTCTAGGGGTGTAGTAGGAAAATGGAGTGCCAGTTCAGAGTGGCAGCTTGTGTTCAAATGTTCTCTGTATTTATAACTTTGGACTTGTTCCAGGGCGGGAATAAGAGATGAAAGCAGCTTGACCCTTTTTGTATTCGGATCTGGCTCCATGATTCCAATTAGAATTTCATTGGACCTTTTAGGAGAAGCCCTTCCAATTGCCAATTTTTATTTATTTTATCTAATATTAATAACTCATAATTAGGTGTCATTAACTAAATATTGAAAACTAAACAATTTAAAATAAACCTTTTCAAATACTTAAATATTATGTAATGGAAGGGGAGAATTGTTAATCCTAATTCATACAATAACAACATTTTGAATCCATTCAATTTGAATTGATATTTTCTCCATGGTAATTATTATCATAATTTTTATGAAAAAAAGATTTACAACAATTATTCTGTAACAATTTATTTGTATAAATGTATGTATGGCCAAAAATGGACTCATCTAAAATCGGGTCAAGTTATAATTGTTTACATGGGCTCAATAGTAATACAATCAACAAAACCTTATTTGGCCGCTCTAGGAGCAAACTGCTCATCCCTATTATGGAGAAATCTTTTATAAAGGAGATACATTAGTTACATTTTAAATGAAAAATTGAGATCTAGTGATATAACACAGGGTCTTCTAAAAGTGGAACAAATATTAGAAGTGCGTTTAATTGATTTAATATCGATAAGCCAAGAAAAGAAAATTGAGGGTTGGAATGAATGTATAACAAGAATTCTTGGAATTCCTTAAGGATTCTTGATTGATGCTGAACTAACTATATTTCAAAGTTATAACGGATAGTCCGTGTTTCTAGTTTTTTTACTATTTAAAAAAAAAAATTCACCGTTGATTGCAAAATACAAGTATTATTTTGTAGCAAAAATAAGATATAAAAGCTGTTAAAAAAATAAAAACATAATATAATATTTATTTGGCAATATTAATTGTTTTGATAATAATTATTATATTAGTAGTTATTGTCACTGTCAACTGTTTAGACTGATATAATATTTCATCATTCGACCTTGTAAATTATAAATCCTAGTGTGGATATTAAATTATCGAAATTAAAACACTAAAACCTAGATTAAAAATTATCACTGAACATGCCAATAAAGATTGTAATATTCTTTTGTGCTGCATCCTTGTCATAAAAAAAAAAGGCATTAATTGAATGTTATATTTTCATCGTAGCGTGGACTGTAATTCGCTATGAAACATAATGATTCCAAAGGAGAAATTTAGATTTTTTCCCCTTTAAATTTTAATAATGAGTTTGTTTTAATTTTTATTTTATAAATAATCAAATAATTCAAATGAACATTATGAACAACATATGAAAATAATTTATTTTTTAATAATTTTATTACATAATAATTTCCTCTACATAATTTTGTCTCTATATGTTAAATTTGTTTATTGTTTTAATTCCGTTAAAGATAAACTCAATGCTAAGATATTCATAAATTATGTCTAGAAAATTTAAGCTATAATTAATAAAATGTGCTATGTGTTTATAGATATATGATTTTCTTATAACCAGTTTTTGACCAATTGATAAAAAAAAAAAAAATCAAACAACTTATTATTGGCATGTATCGATTTCCAAAATTGTGTTTTAAAAAAATTCTAAAACATTGCTGTTTAATTGAAATTCATATAATAATATCCATTATTATGCTTGAAATTTTGATAAATGGTTATATTAGAAGAAGAGAGGGTGGTTAGCGGCTAGCTAACGAGTAACCACGAATAGTCCAAAGCAAAATGTAGCTGGTTGGGTAGGTGAGATCCCATCTCGACAAAGTAATATGTTTGAGAGAGTAAAATAGCATTTTTAATTTAATTTATTATCTCATAATTAATCGTGGCGGCAGTGTACTTGCTGCTTCACGTTCCCGGTTGCCACTTTTGACTCCACAAGCACTATTCGTCTCTTGTAGTCTACTGTCTTGCTCCGGGGGTTGGGTTGGTAGAGCTCATATGCGGTTGGTGAGAAACAACAACTCCAGTTAATCCATATTATATTCACAAGATCCAGAACCCATTTATACAGATCGCAGATCCATCGCTAGTACGCACCGAGAGGAAAAGCCATCATTGACAAAATGCAAGTTAATATCAAAGAAACCACTCCGATTCGTCCATCTACTCCTCCTTTCTCTCAAGATCATGTTCTATCTCTTTCCCACCTTGATACCGACCGGAACATGAACACTACCTTCCGTTACCTAAGAGTTTATGTCAACAACGCCGCCGCCACCAACAGTAATCACCCCTTTAATGTCATTTCGGCTGCCCTTTCCTCTGCTCTCGTCCACTACTACCCTCTTGCTGGTACTCTCCGCCGCCGAGAAGTAGACAGCAGATTTGAGGTATTCTGCTCCGTTGACCAAGGTGTGCCCCTCATCAATGCAACGGTCAACTGTACGCTAGAATCCCTTAATTACCTTGATGACTCGGACTCGGATTTTGTAGAGAGCTTGGTACCGGACCCGACCGCTGATGATGGACTGGTCAACCCGTGCGTGCTCCAAATCACGGTATTCGAGTGCGGTGGGTATACACTGGCAGCTGCAATCCACCATGCCTTGTGCGATGGGCTTGGGGCTACCCAATTTTTCAATGTTATGGCGGAGTTGGCACGCGGGGCGGATCGGATTTCGGTTGAACCGGTATGGGATAGGACGAATTTGCTGCGTCCGAGAGACCCACCCCGGTACGAGGGAGCGGTGAGGGAGTTTTTGGGGTTGGAGAAAGGGTCTGAACCGTACGGTCATGCTGTGGGTAAGGTAGTTAGGGAGTGTTTTAATGTGAAAGATGAGTGGCTGGACCGGTTCAAGAATATGCTGCTTGAGAAAAGCGGCTCTAATTTCACCACGTTTGAGGCTTTGGGGGCATTCTTGTGGCGAGCCAAGTAAGTCAAATTTGATATTGTTGTGCCGTGTGTAATATCTTTATTAAGACTTGTAAATTGGATTCTATAATTCGAATTTTTCATTTTTGTTAACAGAGTTAAAGCTTCCAGAGTTCCTGGTGATGAAATAGTGAAGTTTACATATGCAATGAATATACGAAGACTGGTTAAGCCACCATTGCCCATTGGCTACTGGGGCAATGGCTGTGTTCCAATGTATGCACAGCTTCTTGCTAAAGAGCTATTAGAGCAACCCATTTGGAAAACAGCTGAGGTGATCAAGAAAAGTAAAATTCATGCCTCTACCGAATATGTGCAGTCGTTTATTGATTTCCAAGAAGTACATTATGCAGATGGTATCACAGCAGGAAATAGGGTGAGTGGCTTCACAGATTGGAGACACTTAGGCCATTCAACTGTGGATTTTGGATGGGGAGGTCCGGTCACTGTCTTGCCTCTTTCAACGAAACTACTTGGAAGTGTTGAACCTTGCTTTTTCTTGCCTTATTCATCAGCAAATGCAGGAAAGAAAGATGGGTTCAAGGTGCAAGTGACCTTGCAAGAAACTGCGTTGCCTGCTTTCAAGAAAGAGATGGAGAAATTTAGTAACCAAGAATTTGAGTAGTGTTGATTTTACATTTCAGAGCCTGTTTGTTACTGTTCTCCTTGTAATTTGTGAATAAAATGAAAAGCAAAAGACTTGCAATATCTACATTTCAGGGTTTGCCAAATTTATAACTACTCATTTGCAGGATAAGAGAGTATGCTTTTTGTTTAAGATCTTTATGCTTTAATGAAGGTATTCTTATTTTCTTTATGCGTGAGGGGAAAATAATAAATCGATCTCTAAATTGTACTTAAATGAATACATGATGATCTCTATTTCTAAAAATTAATTACGAAGTCTAGAAATTATGAATTCATAAACGTTTTGATCTTTTTGTCCAAGAAAAAGGGACCACAGCCTTAATGGAAATTAAAAGAGAATGATTAAAATATTAATAGAAATCACAAGTTAGGGATTTTATAGTTAATTCCGCTATAATTTAGGAACTCATTTTTTAATCGACGGTTAAATTAAGTTGTTTTGGACAGAAAGATTAACGTTTTAATAGAATTATAAGTTAAAGACCTTATAATTAATTTTTTAAAATAAAGATCTTCATATATTAATTTAACTGTAATTGAAGAACCTCCGTATTATTTTCCCAGTAAGTTATGGCCATATGAGAACGGAGCGTGATGCTATCTCTCTGATGGGTTTGGGTTGTGTCAAGAAGACGGCAACTCGTTTAGTCGTTCGAACTACACCTTGTAAAGTTGATGACACATGGCAGCAGACAATTTGCTCGCCTAAATGTTGTGACATAGCCGCCTCTTATTTTCATATTTTTTAACCCCGTTGGTAATTTGGGCTTTTAACAAAAACAATATTCTTCACAAAACTATTTTTCAATATATTGTCATTTCAAAATTATTTATCAATCTAATTTTTATCTTAATCAGAGAAAGAGTGTTACACTAAAATCATCAATTGAGTTGGTGGTTTCGGTGATAAGCAGTCAGCAAAAAGTTATTATATGAATAAATAATAATTTTATTTTGTATTGAGACCATCAATCCAATTGGTGGTTTCAATACAAAATGAAAATTTTAAGTTGTCAATTTGTCTTGTCACTGAAACACATGATTCGTTTGGTGGTTTTAGTGCAACGGTGAAATGTGACCACTAGTCAGCAAAAAATATATGGGAAAATAGTATTTGTTAAGAGTCCACCAAATTAATTAGTAGTTTCAATAAAAAAATAATTGTTCACTCAAAATATTTTTTTCATCAAAACACACATATGATCTAGTGGTTTTGGTTCACAATTATTTCAAGTTAAGTAATACAACATAAATTTCCTTACACAGTTAAAAATTATCGAGAGTAATAAATTATTTTAAGTTGAACTTGTATGATATTAAAAACGTCTTAATAACTAATACATGGAAAATTAATCATATTAATGTCTACTCGCATGTCCTCCTATACCACACCTTGGGAGCCTCCTATTACGACATGGATTTCGACGTATTGCATCTTCTCTAATATCTTGATATTCTTCTTGAAAAACTTTGTATGATATAAAAACGACACTTAATAACTAATACATGGAAAATTAATTCATATTAAATTGTCTAGCTCGCATTTCCGTCCTATACCACACCTTGGGAGCCTTAAACCTATTACGAAATACATGGAATTTCGACGTATTGCATCTTCTCTAATATCTTGATGACTTCTACGAATGCTACAAAAATTATTTTTATGTTAGGTACTCATGTGAGGAAGCTGTAGACACCACATTCAATAGTTGTTTTGCGGCTAAAAAAATGTCAGATGAGTCTATTAAGCTACGGGCTACCATCATTTTTGGGCTAGAAAAATATTCAGATGAGTCTATGCTCGGACAGGTACAACATCATTATCTCAAAAAAAATTCATAATTAAATGCAGTGTTCAGCATAATGAGGAATTTGTAGATCTATGCATGTGTGCGAAAAGACCACCGTAGAAGTATTGAAAAAACATGTACTTGTATTATTTTGAAATTGGCGTTAGACTCGCCTATTTATCGGAGAAAAGGAGTAGTGAATTTAACTGGAGAAGTTACCACCATCGAAATGTATGATGAATATTAACAATAACATATTCTGATGCAAATACAAAGATAGACACCCCACTCAGGGTTGTGGGCAGAAGATTGATGTAGTGACTACACGACATATTCACGAAGATACCTTCATAATAGTTATATGTTATAGAGGGAGGGACTTGAAAGGTTATATATTCATTTACTTACGGGGGTTTCAACTAGAATATGTCTTAGTATGTAATTCACGTTCTTCCTACGCCTGCTATATGCTTAATTGTGTTTTGAACCAAGAGTAAAACTTTATAGTCATGGAGGGGTAGGTTTGAAGCATAGGGATGAATTTCAATTACGAATTCTTAACATTCATTGTTGTCGAATAATTGCTAAAATTAAATCTTTGACGGCTAATTATTTGGTGACTGTACTTATATATGTTGAGCCCATTTGCTCTGTATTTAAAAAAATATTATGGAATAAGAGCAAAATATTATTATTCAAATTAGATTAAGAATTATACGTATGAATAAGAAAGTATATCAATAATTACCGACAACTCCATACTTCTGCACCTCGAAATGAAATCCAATGTCTAGTTCGTTTCATATTATGTCAAACTGTATGCACCTAAAACAACAAGATTATATGTTGTAAGTTTAGTTAGTACAATGAATATTTTGAGTAAGAATAAATATTTTTTCATTGAAACCTACTAATTTGAATCTGGTGGACTGTTAACAAAACACTATTTCAATTAAGTATGAATATTTTTTTCACTAACCAGTAAGGTCACATTCTTAAGTTGCACTAAATCATCAAACAAATTATATTGTGTTTTTTTAGTGAAAAGACAATTGACAACTTTAAAAAATTTTCATTTGTATGAAACCACCAACTTTGATATAAGGTTGGTCTCGATACAGAATATTAAATTGATTATTTATTTTATATAATCTAAACATTCTTGCTACCACTAAAACTTTTCAGTTACGGATTACTTTTTTCTGTTTGCATGAAACCACCAAAACTCAATTGATATATTTTAATACAATATTCTTCTCTCTATATTCAAGATAGATATTAAATTAATTAATATTTTTGAATGAGAAAATTAGATTAAAAATATTTTACGGAGAGCATAACCCTCTCTAATTTTACTTATAAATTTGCGTTGCCCATGAATTTTTTTAACACCATAAAAACGCAAGCAGAGGCCTCCAGGTAGCACATAGAAAGACTACGACTAAATCACCACTCTATAATTACCTCCAGATTCAGCCCCGGAGACAAATAAACATAAGTCAACGTTGACCCATAGTAGATCTTCTGCAAGGCAGTGGCGTTCATTATTACTTGGGAAACTTCTTCGACCACATATTGTTTAAGGTCTAGGCCTTTCTCCTATTCCATAGCCAAGCCTTCCATTCCATCTCTCTCCTTCAATCCCTAGGTACATTTCTTCAATTAAATAATCTATACCCATGTCTCCTCTTTTGAAACCGTCATCCCAAATGATTTGCATTTGGTAGTTGTTCTACTTAAATTCATTAAATTTCGCATTTTTTAGGATTTATTCAGAATTTTTTTAGCATGTGAGTTTCAGGTGTTTCTTCAGTATGAGCGTTTAGTGACGGATGCTGTTTTTTCGCATTAATTTGCCAGGGCAGGGTTTTTTGGGAAGGAAATCATTATGGAGGAATTGTACTTCAGGGTCTTAAGAAAGGGAGGTTTTCTCATTTCCATAATGCGTTAACAACTAATGTCTGCTACCGGACGTGTAAGTCTCCGTGTAGCAGGTGCAGGTTTTTTCTTTATTCTTATAATTTCGATTATGTATTGAAGTAATGATATTGGAGGAAATATTGGGTTACTTTTGCATTTCTAGATTGTTGTTGAAGTCCTTAATATTTTTTTGGTTAAAATAAATAAAATTAGAATTGAACCGATGGTTATTACTAAGGTGAAACACTTGCATAAGACTTGATGTAAAAATATTATGACAATTACTATACAGATTCTTGAAAATATTGTGAATTTAGTTAAGAGAATGTTGAATTGCGCAAATGAACCGAAAACAATCTTATAGTCCCATTAGACTTGTGTGGTATAGCGAATAACGAGTAAATTAAATAAGATTAAATAATAATAGCCCAGAAAAGGTTAAGAATTGAAGCAAATAAAAAAAAGAAGAACAACAGAGGACCGGTTGTATTCCATTTGCTCGCTTTAAGTAGGACAGGATGAAATGAAAATTATGCTATTGTTCAAAACGTGATACCCATAGATTGGAGGAAATGTCATAATTAATGGATTAGCGAGGATAGGTCATGGAACAAGGGATAGGCTACTATGTAGCAGTCCTTGGTGGATGTCTTCTACATTAACCTGAAATTAAAGTTATGTTTTATGGTACGCGCATATATACTCGGCATCCAGAAGATCGCGAGATTCCATGAGGTGTGGAATAAGTAATAGAAAGTATCAAAATGAAAAGGGATTAGACCTTCAAAAGTTTATGTTGACTAAAATTTAATTTGATGGGTTGATTTTGCCATTAAGGGAGCTACAGAGGATAGGTGTTGTGGGACAATTGACATTTAAAAAGGCTGCTTACAGGGGGCAAGGCATTGAACCTGGTCACCTTCTTGGCTAAAGCTAATAGCAGGGATTCTTTATGGTACGATGGAAAGTTTAATACTTTTAGCATGGTACCACTTAGTGGATGTTCTTTTCAGATTAACTGCTGTCCTCTGGATGGAACACACTCGGAGAAGAGAAGGAATTTCAAAAATGATCACATCCTGCACGAATTTTATTTTTGATTGGCTCTTGGAAATCCTGAAGGTAGAGGGGTCAGCTTCCATAAGGCCACAGCCCTGCTTGATAGATTTTTGGCCAATTGCAATTGCACAAGTGGTGATTAAACTGTGTAGCCAGGAGAAATGACAGAGCCTTAGGATGAAGATTGATAATGGAAAGAAAGAGCATCGTTTGACATAAAACTGCCATAAGGAATTACCGCGATCTTACAGACAGAGACAATGAGAAGCTGCTGTAAACAGCTAGTGCGGAAAATTTGCGTTGCTAGCCTAGAACTTCTCTTTATTTATACTTCTTGTAA